CCAAGTAGCACAACAACGTCGTAACGACGTTGCAAACTCGTCGCGGATCGTTGCGAAAACGTTGCAATATGTCGTCTTTAAGACGCCCAGATGTCCGCGAACATCCACTGTTTTGCAACCGTTGCAAAGACGTGTTTAACGTCTTTGCAGATGAGGTTTTGTCCCATAGACGTCGTTATTGCGTCTTTCGCAGGTAATATTTTGGTTGTGAAAGCATCGTATCACAACGTCTTAAAGACGCCTAAATGTTCGCCAAATTCCACCTTTTTGCAACAGTTGTGAAAATGTCGTTATTAGTATGTCCTTGTGTTACATATTGCTTCATGCAGAAAAATAAGCTTAATAATTAATATATTTTTCTTCTTTCTTAAAATTTTGTATTCCTTGTATTTTTCTAAAGTTTAAATATTTTATCATCTCCTGAAAACCAGAAGATAATACTATTTTTTCTCTTTACACTAAATATGCATAATTAATAATAGCCTTAATTATTTTCAGTACTTTAAAGTTTTTAAATTTCTCTTTAGACTAAATATGCATAATTAATAATCGTCTTAATTCTTTTCAGTACTTTAAACTATATTTTAAAAATAATTTAAATTATAAATTACGATTATTTAAGACTTCATCATTTTTTTTTCCTTAACTGAGAGTAATTATGAAAGTGGTTATTATAAATATATAACATTAATAGTAGGTTTTAAGTAAATAAAACTCAATTAGACATAAATAAAAGTAAAGATATATATGTTTGGGTAAGAAAAAGAGCGTTTCTGATAACAGCATTATCACATTTATTTCTGTTAAATCTCAGAGACATTGAAAATTGCTCCTGTGATGATAAATTAGGAAGTGGTTTTTAAGGTAACATAATTAGTATTTTACCTGAACTCAAGTATAAATAAATTTATTCGTTTTTCACAGTAAAAAATATAACCATCAACTTCTATATCTCCAAGATAGCAAATGAAAGACAGTATAAAGTAGTTAATAAATGTGATCAAAAGTATACCTAAATCTAATAATTTTCCCATATTCATATCTAAAATGAAATAATAATCTAACAAACAACTTACATGACTGCACTATTTAAGGAAAAACATGAACTAGTAGTGTTTGAAAGTATAAATAGCAGAAGGAATGTAACAAAACTAAAATTTCCAATTAATAGAGAATATTTGTGTTTTTTAAATAGTAAGCAATTAAAAGTGCAATAATTATGGATTGCAGTATTTACTAGTAATGCTGATGATTCTTAACACCATTTCTTTCGATCATATATTAATGTATTTACTTATTTTTAGTTTCTACATTTTAGAATAGTGGTAGATTACAATGATTATTTCATGCACTTTTTATAATCAATAACTTTCCTTTTTGTTAATGTATAGAAATAATTGAGATAATATATTATACGATAGTAAACTAAGTACGCTAAAGTAAGCTCTTCGTTAAATAGCACGTGATGAAACTTTTTGTTTCTATTTATTATGAATTTCTTAGTTACCACAAGCACATAGAAAGTAAGCGAAGAAAATAGAATATACTTAAGTTTAATTCAGAAGTCAAACAACAAAAATCAGCGTTATACCTACAAAATTTTTAATATATTTTTCTGTGAAAATTTTGTAGGTATAACGCTGATTTTTGTTGTTTGACTTCTGAATTAGTATTTATTCGGCGTGTTATTATGTCTTAATACTTAAGTTTAATAAAAAATAAAACCTAATTTCCAACATTCATTTATTGAGATAATCTAATAAACATATATAACGGCAATATTTAAAAAAACGCGAATTACACAGTGTTTGGAAGAATAGATACCAAACGAAAGTAATAAAACTGTAATTTGCAATCAATAAAAAATACTTAGTACTTTTAATATTACACAATTAAATATCACATAAGTATAGATTACAATATTTCATAAAAATGCTAATGTTTCCTTAACACTAGTTTTTAGATCATACATTTCATACGCTGTTTGGCTCACCAGCGGCCGAGCGGTAAAGACGCTGAACACTGGTAGTTCGATCCGAGTTCGAATCCTGCGAACGGGCTGGCTGCATGGGCGTTTTCGTGGTTTTCCCCATGTGTAACGTGTATACGAGCCAGTTTCCCTTAGAAAGTCCTCCATGAAGGCATCCCTTCCTTTAAGCAGATAGCCCTCGCGTGCTTTACCATAATTCAATAATCCAATCCAGTCATACACTGTTTAAAATCATTAACCTTTTCTGCATACTGTACAAAAGACAATATACTATAGAATGTGCATTATTATTAATTTTAATAGTAATAAATTATTGCTTATATACATATATCTAATTCATTTTCAGCAGTCATATTAATTACTGGTACCACAAGTGGCTTACCGTTGTATGTTATTTTGGTTTATGTTTTAATTAATTCTGAAAGCCAACTTTTGAAAAACTTTTTTAAATATGAACTAAATCGATTATATGATATGCGAAACAGCACTTATAACGTTATAACCGAAGCACAAAGCTAGTAAGTTTATCCAAATATTGCACTGCTGGAAACACAGCGATTGGAGACAGACACTATTTCCACAGAGACACTATTTCCACAGAGACACTATTTCACGAACCACAGTGACACTATTTCATGAACCACAGAAACACTATTTCACGAACACTATCTTCCACAGACCACTACAGACCACAGAGACACTATTTCGCGAACACTAGATTCACAATAGCAGATATTCACACACAAAATAAGCACAAATTCAGCATTCTGACGATAATTTCAATCGCTGAAGGCAGTTGAAGTAAATAGATCCAGAACAATGAGAAGATTCACAATGCGTTCTTTGATTGTCAGTGCAATACATCTACTTTTAATATAAGCAATATTATTTATATCAGCCATTGCTTGATTCAATTTCAATCATGAAGTAAGCCTTTTCAAACGCCTTACAGATGGCATCTTTACCCAATGACTTTAAAGAACTGCTAGAATCTGAATTAATTGCGCAGTTGTTCGAATTTGGCAGCTAGCCAAAATGCGCAAATCTCGAGATGTTCGTTATATTTAAGCATCCAGTAAATAACGTACAGGTCTGCTTCTCCTTCCGCCATATATATTGGACAGCCGTGAATTCGTCCTTACTTCAAAAAAATAAGAAATAAAGTCATATTTCAGTAGTGAAATAGTTGATAACACGTGATTTGCATTGATTTCGGAAATATAATTTTTTAGTATATAAAATGCCTAACTTAATAACTTACTTTATAGATTAGTTTCATTTCTAAATATTTTGATATAATATTTTATAAAAAATATTTTAAGTATTAATTATGTTAACAAATTTTAAACAATTATTTAGCACGTATTTTAGTAATAATTAAATTTAATAAATCAAAAGTATTTATATTAAATTTACATTTCATTAGATGAATCTTAGATTAATATATTTAGATGAAATAAAGTATTGAAACATTGCAAAGTAAATCTTATGCGGACTTCAGATTCTTTAAAAGGGCAGATTTAGTCTCTTTTCATTCTAAAAATAATGCTGATGAACTAAAAAAAAATGCTAAAACGACCACGTCTAAATGCGGTCATATCATGACGTTTCAGCGACGTCGACAAATTGCCAAGATGCAACGGCAAATATTTTGCGTCTTCGCAACGTTGTAAAGACGTCGTAAAAGTTACCACGACCACTTTGCAACCTCTCGGACCAGTTTGCAACGTCGTGTGCTACTTGGCACAGATGATCTAAATTTCTGGAACAGCTGGCGGTCATCTTAGAGAGATTTTATCGCATTTTACAAATTTTTTAAAGTTGAAAAGTAAGCATTTATATGTTATGCTATGTATTTACACCACCGATGATGCCGCTTTTTACATAATGATATCCTTTACTAGATATCGTTATCACCGCAGATTAAAATTTCTGCGTAATTGAGTGTATCCAAATTTTAACTTACTTTAATTCTAATGATTTAATCCCGAATTGTGTTGCAAAGCCCGAGATTGAGTTATTCTACCGTCTCTTGTTTTGATAGCTCTGGATCTACGAGTATATCCATTAAAGGACCCAGTTATTCACTAACTCATATTTTCATGTTTAAAATTATTACACATTATGATTTGAGTAAGACAGATTAGGCAAAAGTAATAACGTTTAGAAGGGTAAGAATACAGTGACCAATTAATGTGTGCTTTAAATGATAAAATTCGTGTAGCCGGCATCGTCGACGAATGTATTGTAGATACTTTAGGTTCTTTTAAAGAAAGACACATGAAAAATGAGCAATGCCCTCGCCGGGATTCGGACCTGGACCTCTCGAATACTCGCCGAATGTGCTATCGTTACACCACGAAGTCACGCAGAAAGCGGGGAGAAAATACTATAGTATAGGCACAATTAAAAGGTATTACTGACCACGACAAACATAAATGCTATTCACAACAATAAGAGAAATGATTTTTAGGCGCAGCATTACTGTTGAAGAAGAAAAGCTGTTCTGAAAAGTAATTTTCTTCTACAAGTAGTCATCGTAGATGCATTCGGGAGGAAAAGAGAAAACTTTGAAAAGAGGGTTAAGTTAAAAAAGGAATGAATAATGTCCGACCTTAAAAGGGAGTTCATAAAACAGATAGTACTCGAGTGTTTTGCCATAATCTAATAAACTAAGCCAAACTTGGCGAGTTCAAAGTTGAATGAGGAAAATTAAGAGACATAAAAAAAAGCATATACAAAAACCAACTGCTAATTATGGTAATAAGAATTGCTCCGCTTAATATCAAAATATGTTCATGTATTTTTTTTAAAATTAAAATGTGTTATTTTTTCCAGCACTTAAATTCTTTTATGATATTCAAAGAGAATAAAAATATGATTTTAGAAATTTTTAAAATGTAATATATTGAAGCAGGTCATAATTAATAATAGTAAATGCATTGTGATATGCAGTAACAGTTCTTTTAAGAAGTAAAAATGTTAATACTATATGATTTCATTTCAATAGTTGCAACAGCGGGTCAAACAAGTGGATTACCGAAAGCTCTATAATTATGCAGAGAAGTGTCTAGAAGATTACCTCACTAGTCTTTCTCCTCCGAGCTTAAAACACGTATTCGTCGTCAATTCTTTCGACATGGAGACAGCTATCATCGACACGGATGTGCATACAGGCATTGGTGATGTAATACTTTTTCGAATCGTTCGATTATCACTGGCTCTTGCGGATCGAATTGTTAGCATTCCTCTGCGATACAACTGGAATACTCTGCTTGTTAAACTGAAAAGGCATGCTGACCTCAACTTCTTCCCTCCCTATGAAAGTTAGTGCTATTTTATATCTTTAATTTTTCTTAAAACGAAAAATGTCAGTTATTATTTAATTCTTATTAATTTAGTTTGCAGATAGCCAATGTTCTCAGTTAACAATATTCGACTCGGAACTTAATTGAAATACTATCTTGTCCTCTTATGTGCTGCTTCAATATCAGCGATTTTAGTCATCCGTGGTTTCTGTGGAACTAAACCGTTTTTGAAAATTGAAGAATAAACGTTTTGTAAGTTGCAACTTTCGCGCCAAATGAGGAGTAAGCTGTACTTGTTGAAATATGGAAACCTAAAATTAAGTAATATAGTCTTCCTTCCTCTATTATATCCTGAGGAATAGACTGAAACATCAAAATCCCTTATTTATATGCGTGAGAAAGGGAGGGATAAAGTAAAATTTAATGTGCATTGCAGGATACAGTAAACTATATTTTTTATTCATTTGATTTTCTGGCCTTTAAATTTTCAACATTTGTGTACGCCTTCTTTTGTATAATGAATAATATGAAGCTTCAATCTTCTATATAACACGAAGCTTGGAAAGCCAAGTAAATCTCAGACGTAAAATATGTAGGCACAGGCTATACATAAATGCTACAAGTTTTATAAATTACAAAAATAATGGATTTCTTTTATATATAAATAACAGAATTTAAAAGTAAGATAAAAAAGGGAACTAGAAGCATAACTAATACACACAAATATGTAACATATAAAAATAATAAAACTAAATACACAGAGGTAAACAGATAAAAGAAATTTTCCGATACTGTGAACAAATCTTAAGATAAAAAGAAAATAATATCCAAAGTTAAAAACATTAAAAAAATTTAAATACTGAAAGATAATTTCCTAAAAAGAAATAACTTATGTCTGTTACATTCAAATACATAATATTTTCAAACACATACTTTTTGCGAAAACTGCAACCCAATGAAAGAATCTGGCGAATAAACTGAAATTTACATGGAATGCATATCAGGGTATGTTGCGCATAGAATTTTAAACAGCGCATGCGTCCGCTTAGCTGTCGAGTTAAATACATAAATAGAAGACTGCAAAAAGGAACGTTAAAAGTAGTTTTTCCTGATCCTGCCAGCAGTAACCGTTTTAGAAGTAACTATACCTCATCGATGACAAAGAGAGCAAACAAGCACGTTGTGCTGCTTGAATAGGAACGAATAATCGACCCAAAATGTTACGTCAACACGAAATGACAGGTGATAGTGACCGACCACGTGATAGTGACCGACCGTGCAGCTTCATCTCGACAGTTGGTACAACGTTGGAGCCCTACAATTCTCCAGTGTCTGCCGCGTCGTGGATTGCTTGCATACATTGCTTTACGTAGAACTGTCCACACGCAAAACCATCGGCGCCTGAGGCTACAGTGGAGTCGTCAATACAGCGTGACGATTATCAACAGATCGTCTTTCTTGATCAGTTTGGAGTACAAAGATGGTCGAATTTGCGTAGGACATAGTAGACAGCACCATCATCCGTCATGTATTATCCAGCCTCATACTGGACGAACATTAAGTTTGATGGTCTAGTGCGCCATTGGGTATAATGGAGATATCTCGTCTGCTAAGAAATGAAGGTATTCTCACCAGCAACCGTTGCATCCAGGAGGTAGCGCAGCTCAAAGTCATTCCCTTCATTCAGTGCATACCTGAATGTGTATTTCAACAAGACAATGTCTGTCCACGTGTTCATTGAAAGGTTGTAAACTTCTTTACCACGTGTTAGATGCCGCTTCTTCCTTCTCCTGTCGATTAACCAAACATGGCGCATATGGAACATGTCTGGGATTCCACTGGTAAGTAAGTCGCTCATAGCACTCGTCTTACAACTAATACTGATCAACTTGGGCTCGTATAGAAGAAATATGGAATGCTGTTCCTTAGATGCACATTCCAAACCTGTTTGATTCAATATTACGATGAATATGAGCTCTTATTGCAACGCATAGGGTCTTCACCAAATGCTAATTATGGGCATTTAATTTTATCCTTTTGTTCTGTAAATTCAACCATGGGTTTGTATCATTAAAAGTCATATGTCTTATCGGAACTAAAATCTATTCAGTTCTGAAGAAACCAAGTGGTTTCGCAGTTTTCATAAGGAATATATGTATACGTAAAATAAAAAGTAGAGAAGCTAAAGTATTAACTTTAATCTGCAATAGTACTTTAATTCTCAATTTTAATTTGTTAATTTCTCTTTTATGTCCTAAAAATAGCAACATCTTATAATAAATCTTTCTAAACTGCTCCATTTAAAAATTAATGTCCATTTCGTGATTCTAAAATTACACTCACGACGCCGATACTTACCTTTTCAGTCAGTAACAGTTTTAAATTTGCAAATCAAAGCTTTGGATTGATCTATGAGAATGAAGCTAAACCAAAACTAAAATATTTTGAACTGCCTTTTTGCCTTAGATACGCCGCATTCTGTGTCTAGCTTTTCTTCTGCCTACTTGTTAACGCCTGTTGCTTCTTCTTCCTTCAAATAAATTTTAAAACTCTAAAAGGTATTGATATATTTCTTCGAGAACAGGCTCCAGTTCATCTTGTTTACTTAAAACGATTTGATAAAGAAAATGAAAAATAGACGAGCAAGGATTGCTACATCATCTATATACACCAAGCTCAGTCATTTTATAATCATAGCCTCCTTTGCGCCGTCAACTTCTAAATTATTAGTGATTTTAGCCGGGGTGAAATCCAATGGCTGTCGGAGAAACTCTTACTTCGTTAAAAAGTTCCTACACAGAATTAAAAAGTGTATTTCTCCACAAGTGGAAGTTTTTAGCTCTGCAATGCAATGCCTGCGTAATTCTCAGACCTTTCTTCAAATCTTCTCTTGCGTAACAAATTCGATGTTCAGCACAGTTGACACCGCTTAGTTTGATCATGTTTATCCTCTGCTATTTTGATAACATTAACCGAATGAACGGTGAGAAAAAGCATCTTTCAATATAGACACTTAATTTATCTAATTTATTGTAAATATAACTAGAAGCATATCTAGGTATTTTGACAGCATTTTAATTAGGAAAAGGCAAAAGTTTGTTTATAAATTTTTCATAATGTTTTGCTGTGCATACATTTTCCGAAAGTTGTTTGACCGATGCTGTATTCCTAATCTTAGGTAGTCGGAGGGCCATCCCTTCACTGGAAGAGAACTTGTTAATGTAAAATTGAAAATTAGGCAAAAAAGCAACCTTAGGTTTCGGGGAACCTTTTTTCAGGGAAGGGAAAAAATAAATTTTGCTGAAATCCTTTTGCTTTTGAAGACGGGAGATCTGTGTGTCTGATCGCCTTCGAAACTGGCAGAGTTGTCGAAAATTTACATCAGACTAAGGCTCTCATTTTGCCTAACTTCAAATGATTGACTAAAATCGAAACCAAGCTATTCGGCGATATAATTTTTTACTAAGCGACATTTTTCTGTCATTCAGCAAATTTCATAATCAATTTTGAAATTATTTCGTAACTTTACTTCAGTTTAAAAAATTTCTTTCAATATATTTTGATCATATTAACCGATCTGTTGATTAAAATAAGGAATAGATTTTCCCTGTTTTCTTATACAAAAGGGCGGGTCTTCGGCAATTCGATAAAAATATCGGGATGTTAACATAAACCGCGATTACATTAAGCAGTGTCCTAAACGCAGACTTTTTTTTTTTTTTTTTTTTTTTTTTTTTTTTTGGCTGCATTATCGAATTGATTTATTGAGTGCTTAACAATGCACTAGAATTATTTATAATGTTCTACAAATTGATTTAAATGGTCTTGAATATAACTTCAAATCGTTCTTTTTAATAAATTTCTTTAATTTTGACTTGGTTAATGTGGTTGAAAATACAAATTATTTAAAACAAAACTGACGTAACCTCTCTTTCATCAACTGTACTGCCATAACAATGTGAAGAGGCAAATATGATCAAGAACAGGCCTGCAGATTTCGCCCATTAAAAATCAACACTTATTTCTTCTTTGAAAATTACCTTTTATTCAGTGTCTTTTCAAAAGTTGATCACTTCAGCCACATGAAAGCATAAAATCTATGAAATCAAATTATTTTAATAATTTCTTTGTCTCTCTCTTTTAAAACATGACTTTCCTTTACAGCATACCTTCTTATTTAAATATATGCAACACAAATATATATAACGCAGATAACTTTTATATTTTTTTATATAATTATTTTTTTCTTTTTGTAGGTTATAATTGAATTCTTGGAAATTTATTATGGAACCATACAGTACAAAACAACGCGTTAAAATTATCGAGTTTTTCTAATCTTGTCAACGATCAACGCAGTGTAAATATTGGCAATATTTTAATGCAAGTGTACTGTTTGGTGCGATGTTATTGGCCAATAGAGTTATCGGCCCATATTTCTTCGAGAATGTGGATAGAACGCCGGAAACGTTTTCCGGAGCTTCTTACAGAACGATGATTTAAAACTTTTTGCGGCCAATGGCGGAGCAGAATTCTTTTTTTTAATGGGGATATTTAAAAGACAAAGTGTATTTAATAAACTAGAGACTATTAGACAGCTAAAGCATAATACTCGAGACGAAATACTAAGCCTTCAATCAGAAGCATTGCATGGTGTAATGGAAAACGCGTTAAAAGGAGGCAATCTCTCTATCGAGAAAATGCTGGACATTTGTCTCATGTCATACTTCATACATAATTTCCATAAAATATATTTAATGTGTAAAAACATTTATCAAAATTAAGGATTATTACAAGAGTTATCCGTGTTTAACATTAGTAGGTTTTATTTGGCCCACCTTATATATATATATATGGCTTTTATTTTCATATTATATGGGCTTTTTTTTCATATATATATATATATGGCTTTTATTTTCCTTGTTTATTATAGTAAATAAGATTGAAATTGAAATTCCTAATCGATCTTCTAGGTCTTTCTGATTACTAATATTTTTATTCAATCCAATTAAAATCGATAAACCCAATTTTTATTTTTCACGTCTGTTGGTCATTTTAGCCGCTCAAGTAATATCACTTATTCTGACTATCATATTATTGAATTGCAAAGAAATAAGCAGATAGAATAACCTGTGATGTAATGTTTGATTTCTGTTTTTTTTATTATTATTATTATTCCAGCACAAGCTATGATACTTGCAAATCAACATTTCATCACATTTGATAAGAAGTTTTATGATTTTGCTGGAGAGTGTACTTACCTTCTCGCCAGGGACTTTGAAGACAGCAACTTCACCTTTGCTTTGAAACCAAGAGAAGGAGATAATGATCCGTCTGTTCTTGTACTGATCAAAGACATTAGCATTGAACTGAATGGAGCTCAAAAGGCGGTAAGTGAATTTTCAAAAAATTAAAGTCTAAGCCCTCGTACCGTTATCAATTTCAGTATTCAAGGTATTGGATTAATACAGGGTAGTGTAAGACAAACCGAACCAAAAGCAAGTGAAGAACACATAAGCTATAAAGCGATATTATGTTATACAAGTAGATGAAAGACAACACAGTGCAATATGCGTCACAGCTCGCTGCGTAGTATTTGAAGTGTTACTGCGTGCTGCTGCATTGAATACACTAACACTTTTCGCTTTCTCCTCTCCCATATTCGGTTCGATTTATCTTGATCCGTCTTGTGTCTTATCAAATAAAAACAGAATTATATATTATGACGTCGAAATCTCGCAACTCGAAAAGTAGGCTACTACTCAAAAAATGGGAATTCAGAGTTACTATAGTGAAAATTAAGGAAAATGGGATCCTGTAAAGGTCCGCTTACATTAGCGTAACTTAGAACCCAAGATATGCGTGCGAACTTTAGGGCTCCATGTAAATAGCCCTGTGCGATAATGTCATTTAAATTTCAAGAGTGAAATATTTCTTTAGCACATTAAACTAATTCCATTAGAGTGTCATCAAGTTCTCGCACATTTCATGCGCTCAAAGTTCCGCCAGTGTAAACAGACCTTAAATATGCTAAGTAGTCCTTTAGTTCGAAAACTCGGGGAAGGACGGAAGGTTCATTAGTGTAATGCCCCATTTTTCATTCTAAATGATCTCATATATGGTTACTTTGGAGTTCATACTGATATGTTTTATCAGTTTACCAAAAAATTTAACATATCTCAACTGCTGAAAAATCTCAGCACAATTTTAGGTACAGTCAGTCGAAAACGATGACGCATCTCGGTCGAAAATAAAAATTAGCGCAATTTATTAATCAGCAAATGTGATACATCTATTTGTTTCTTAATAGCATCCTAACCATAAAGTTTACCTTTGTTCATGGGACTGGAAGCTCTGAAAGAAAGTAAAAGTTGATCCGAAATTACTTTGCGTTATTCTAATGGGCGCATGGGAAAAAAAGAGCAGAAATATTATGTAAAACATTTACTTGTATCTTATGCCATTTGAAAGAGAACACGTTTTTCAGCTTTCAAATATTTTAAAGTTTATATTTAATAAAATATTTGAATTAGCAAAACAACCAATGTCTTTTGTTTAAATCTTGCTTGAACTGATTGATAGCTATATTTAGTTATAAGCTGAACTTAATATGGCTCGATCTACATTCTAGTCTAATTTTCTAGACTGTGGAACAAATTATTATTTCTTTAATTATTAAGTAACTACAACAATGTAAAACATTTGAAGTTAGAGAACTAAAGGAATTAACTTCTATTTGCGGCTGAACCGTTCCGAAGTTTAAATTTACAACTAAACTCCCTGGTTCCGCTATTTCACACTACTAAATTTTTATTAGAGACCAGCTAGTATCAACGGCACTGAAGTTATTTAATAATAATTAATAACAAATATGTGCATCGAGCATCTTGGGCCAATATATAAGAGCATCTCTCATCGTCTTTCCCTGACTCCATCCACACAAAAATCGTTTGGATTCATAGTACACATCACACCATTTAAGATTTACCCGATACGCAAACCCAAGTTCTTTGGTGCGATAGCTGCTGCAGATAAATAAAGCAATGATCTAGCAATATATTCCATAGATAGTCAACTTGTTAACAACATTCATTTAATTTTTTAGTTAACTAATTAATTTTGGCAAAGGCACAAAGCAAAGAATTCATATTTTTAATCGTTTTGAAACGAGAATGCGCTTAATACATAGGTTTAACTATATTACTTTTATTCTCCCATTTTCCATCTCTACTTAACGCAACTAAAGCATAAATATTTTAATCTATAAAATAAGCAGTGCCAAATAATGATAATGATAATAATAATAAGTTATTAAGTCATAAATTGTAAATTTGCATGCATACTCATACAATGCATTTTTATATTGTTACATTTCTAATTCTCAACACGAAATGATTTTGCCAGGACAGTTTAAACATCAGAAGAATGTAAAATAAAGGTATTGTATTTATCGTTTCCAGTTTCATCATTTTATTTAAAACTCTTAATAATAATAAATAAGTAAATAATACTGAGCCACGTGTATTTTAATTTTTTTCAGTTTCTTTGTTTCAGCATAAGCTTTACTTTTTCCTGTTCAAGTGCATTATAAAAATACTAAATTATACAGATTTCTTCATCAATTTCATTTTAGGATTGGATTAAGAATAGTAATATTTTCATTTAAACAAATCTTTTTGTCTTGCAGAACGCTTTCTAAATAAAAAAATCTGCCTTTCAAAACGCTTTCTAAATAAAAAAATCTGCCTTTCAAAACGAAAGATTGATCTTGTAAAATATATTCTATTATCAGATGAGTATTTTAAGTTTCATTAAAGATTATTAACGAACTAGGTTTTCTCGTTTGTAAAGCTTTTTATAACAGCTCATTTTGATCTCCAAGATGGGAAAGAAACTTCCTTTGTTAAGCAGAACAGCTTTAATATTTAGTCTAAATTTCTAGTAGTTCAGGAATTAGTGTCGTCCTCTTTTCCGATGTTAATATCTCCAGTCTTTAATCAGAGCAGGTACGCTATCAGTTCTGATTCTAAACTCATCAGCTCAAAGTTAAATTAAATTGAGGAAACTGAACTGAATTTGACTTCATTTTTTGAGATTTTTTACTTAAATAAAAAATCCCCAAATATAATAAAAAAACATGTGACTAAATAATAAAAAAAAATATTGTTTGAAATGTTTTGAGACAGCAAAATTGATTACAATTGGAAAAAACACTATGCATTTTACCACTACATTTTATTACAATTATCTTAAATATATTGTATATATTTTAATTGTGACTATACCTTATTTAGGTAAAAGTTGCTGATAACGCCGTTGAGCTGCCTTATTTGTCCGAGCATTTTACGGTCATACGATCAGGAAATACCATCATAGTTGATGACAAATATGGAGTGCAAGTTAAATGTCACTTAATTCATGAACTCTGCGTTTTTGTTATCTCTGGTTGGTACTACGGGAAAACTGCTGGTCTCCTTGGAACATATAACTATGAGCCGTCTGATGATTTCAAAAGGCCTAAAGGTCAAATTGCTAACTCAGCCACAGTATTTGCCAAAAGCTGGGAATTGAAGAAAGGCTGCAAAACCAGCAATCTAGTTGCTGATTCGCGAATCAATGAAAGAAGTGACTATTATAAACAATGCAAACTACATTTTGAATCAAGCAAATCTCCCTTAGCAGCATGTTTTGCTGAAGTAAGTATTCCTTATTTTATAAGTTTTGAATAATATCACGAATTATGTATTATTATAATTCATTGTCGTGATATCTGAATGAGATAAGTGTTAAATGACAGATTTCTATGATGTATTTTATTTTTCTTTCGTTTTAAATTATCTTTCCTGTCATGCCTCTATTCGTGCACTCCGTACTCCGTTTTATTCAACAAAAGGCTAGAACAGGGATTTCCAACCTTTTTGTCTTGCAGTGACCTCTTTTATAGGAATAGTTTTCTTCATCGAGCCGCTTACGTTTTTATGTGCAGCAATATCTGTAGCGGTATACAGCCTAACCGAGCATAAACAACTCAAACATGACAATTAGATTAAGAATATGAGAAAAATTTTTATTAAATTTATGCATTATTATTTTTTAATTTTATAAATATTAAGTTTTCAGAAAAAAAATCACAAATTCTAATTGCATAAAAATTCGATTTTAATTAATGTCAGGGTTGCGCGTGATATATTGATGCATTGATGCATTTTTTTTAATATTTGGGCATAAAAGTGCTTAATTTGATTTCTTAACTCATCCTCTTTCTATAATATTCCACCTGTTTCTTGTTTTCTATTCTACTTTTTCAGTCTTCGTATTTTTTTGTTGTATTTTCTTGTGTTCTTGCAATTGACTCTTTTATATTGCATTTATTGCATAAAATTATATATTT